AATACACACCCACACATGAATGCACTCCCAAGAAGTATATCACACACCTAGCAGTATATCAGTATATCAATATGCTAAGAAGCATTACTATCTATTCAAACACCATTTGAAGAAATAAAAATTCCATCTGAAAAAAAGAGAAAAGGTGAAAAGGAAATTGAAATCAAAGAAGAATACTCACACATTTGCAGGTTTTTTCTGCTGAGACACAAGCCTCACAATATTTTCAGATATTTGATCCCAACACACATCAGAAATCAACATCCTCTAATTTGAGAGCACAACACTCATATGAGAGCTGACTATTGTGCGTCATATAGTTAATTAGAGCTAGAGCTAGAACAATATAGCAAGTGAGAATCAAATGATGCTAAGCAGGAACAAGCTAGTGACACATGACAGAGAATATCATCAATAATAATAAGTGATAAACACCAGAGAATCACTTACTTGCAGTTGAGGAATCTGAGGGAACCCATATTGATAAGAAGAGGGGGAAGAAGCAACAGAATATTTATTTAAAAAATTAATTTTTAATATAAAAGATCACATCAGAGAGGCAGAGAGCATTGATGATGATCAGATTAAAAGAGAAGAAGAATCAGTAAGAGGGAAAGAAATTCTTTTTATCTCTTCACTTGCAACCTCTAGCAATCACAAATTCACCAATTCTGCCATATTTAGAAATTGATAACAACATATAGCAAGCGCTTGCTAGTGACATATCTATACAAATTACTGAGAGCAGCTCATATGAAAAGAGGGGGCAATTTGTAATGCACTCATCTATTATTTCCATATATATCTTCATTTATTCTTACCTTTTCTTACTATGTTCTCACTACCACTATTCCTAAGTATATAAATATTTATATGTTTGTATGTACATGTACTTCGCACATCTTCTTTTCGTTCCTTTCCTTCTCTTCCTTAGCGATTAGCTACTATATTATTGTTACTATATTACTATATCATTATATTATATTCTCCTACTACTGCACGCTATAAACTATCTTCTACTATTCACTCTTCACACTGTCACCCCTCACAGTTTCTAATCGCTTAGTATCACTTTTTCGAGCCCCTGTCTGCCAGTGGTCAATTAGGGCAAGGACGACCACGTGCTGCGCAATATATAAACCCCTCTCCTCGCACGCCAGAGCATTCTCTGTCAACTTCCCACGACAAACCTCAATTGCAGCTCTCTTCCCTATCACTCACTTTCAATTCCACCCTCACCTCTAGCTTTCGAACAGTTTTTCATCCGGGTACGGCTCAGCATGGATAGCGTCGTTGTCCTCTCTTGCGATGGAGTTGTCACCGAATGGTCAAGGTATTGTTGCAACCACGCGTGCACATGACAGGTGTTCGATCAGTTCATGTTCTCTCAGCGGCTTAGCTATATATACTCTTCTTTGAAAGTATGTGCCTTGTGGATATTTTATCCAGCCACACTTTTTCTGAATTGGAGCGGGCCTGCAGCCGGTGATCATGAACTGATTGTTCTGAGATTATACTGTCTGAACTTGATCTGGGTAATTCCAGCGAAAGGACATGTTACGCTTGATATCCAAGGTCCCTATATACGTTGTTGTGGTTGATATGCTGACTCTGACAGTGACACTTAATTCGCTCTGAATTTACATCGCTCTTGTTGCCTAAACAGGTCTACCGATAAGATTACTTTTTTGACGAATTGGTAGGTCTCTTGAGCGAAT